ATATATATATATATATCTAATAAGAGCTAACGTTAAGACACTTAATCGTTACGCGAGTCGAAAACGTCTCCCATAGCCCATAGATCGCATCTTGCGGGATTTCACTCAGCTTCCAACTCGGCGGTTGTTTCATCTTCTCATTTCAGATGCGAGCGTCGACGATGTCTCCCGTCAGGAGCTATCGGAGCACGAGCTCAAGATGAAAGTCGAATACATGTAAGAACGAAGAGGATCCAACACAGGCGAGGAAATCTCTTTTCGAATCGGAGGAGTTTGGGAGGGGGGGGAAGGGGAAGGAATAAATTTCTCGCGCAACGTTGAATTACATTTCATTAAACGTATTTTAGTCGCACTTAACGAGGGTCGGGATGATAAAGAACGATATCTAGAAGCTGCGTGTCGAATGAAGAATTATCATCTTCATGTCGACGGTTCTGGATAATTGCATTTACTGATTGCACATTTTTTTTTGTTGACGATCGCGCTTGTACTCTCCTGTCTTTTCTTTTTTTGGGGGGGGAGGGGGGGGAAAAGAAAAACGCGTAAAGCGTTTCTAAAGCGAAATCGAGCAATAATAAGATGAGCAAACAGTTTTGTGTGTGTACGTGTGTATATGTTTGTCGTGTACGTATTGTTACTAGAATTCTTGACTAAATTTATACAGTATGTCTTGTATGCGTATATTTCTCAAATACAATGTGCAATGGACCAAATATATGACAGGAGTGATATCTTATTCGTGTATGCGTGTCCCATCTCGAAGAATTAAAAATTCCACCTTAACCATTTATTTATAATTATATTGTATTCTATCTTCGTTTTATCGTTTTTTTTTTTTTTCGTAGCAGAGGTCGATATGCCTGTTCTTTTCCTTTCTTAAACGGCATCGCGGAATCGCGCGTGTGTTTACATTCAACGTTCAACATATTAACGCCCATGATCGAGAAACAATTATCGAGAAAAACTGCGTAATAGGCTAAATAAAAAAAGCGGGTGTCGCGTGATACGTGCTAAGCGAATTGCGATGTGAACGCCCTAATTTCACTTCTGAAACGCCACGAAGGAGACCCCCCCTCGACGGTAACACTCGTATGCACAATTTTGATTATCTAATCGCCTTATGTACACGTGTTCGGGCAAAATCAAGCAAGAGACGATTTCTCAAGAGCCGATGTATAAAATACGTTTACACATATCCTGACATGGGATCCTAGTCAAAAAAAAAGGTCGCGGTCGATGAACGAGCACATCTTCGTTAATGCTCAAAGCTGCCGATCATTCGGAACGTTAGAAATAATCTATCTGTTTCGCAAGATTCTCGTACCTCTACTGTCATAGTGTCATAGTATAAAAAGAGAAACATATATGTCTCATTACACATTACACAATCAAACGATACACATTCTAACGGTTTCTTTACGAAAAGAAAATACATTGATACAAGCTTGCGTTCTTGTCAACGAACATACAGGATATAAAATATGCGCTACGTTAAAATATTTATGAATTTATATATAAATTTGGCGAAATATATAAATCATAATCGTATGATATTAAATATACACTTCGTCATTGTATAACTCGAAAAAAAAGATTAAAATTAACATGTATATAAATCAAGATTTATACAATTAAAATTTAAAACTTATCGTTCTAAATAAGTTGTTGTATCTTCTTAAAATTACATCTATGTAATTAAAATCATAATAATGTGGCACTCTCTCGCTCTCGTTTTCTCTTTCTCTCTCTCTCAATCTCTCAATCTCTGTTCAATTACAGACCCTGCGATTTTACAATAACGGGTCGTCGCAAGTGCAAATTGAAAAAACAAATTAAGCAACGTGCTACTTTCCATTCGCGAGTCTTTCGCGAATCCTTGGCTTGACAAGGAGACAATTCAGGGCACTTCTTTACTCTGCCTGTTTTTATATAGGCGCTGGACCATTTTTATGTGCTATTTTTTTAACAGCAAGGATTCAGCATAATGTACAGTAATGTATTGTACTTCGAAAGCCTTTACCGATCGATCGACCGTGAATTAGTTCAGGAGATCGGTAATACTTCGGGATTCTCATTTTCTTTGTTGACGCTATTTTTTCATATTTCTTTGTATCTTACTCTCTCAATCTCTCTCTCTTTCTCTCTGTTTTACATATAACTCCTACCTCTTCCAGACATGTATATTTGTACATAATATATATATCATATCCAATGGAAAGTGTACATTAAAATTAACTGAATCACGTACGGTTCACTCACAACATCAAAAATAGACTATTGCAAGAGTGCATTAGTATGTGACACCCTGTAGATTAGTTATTACTCAACTCAAGGTACCGTTCCCGCACATTTCGTGACTTTCTTCCTCCTGAAGGAGTCTGAGACGTAGACGATATGTACAAATTTTGTATGATATCACAATATCGCTCACACATAAATCTCTGAGTCTCTTTTTCCTTATCTTTATTTTTTACTTTTTTTTTTCAAATGCGACTTGACGAATCAGAGATACAAGTCGTTGATCCCGTATCATTGGACTATAATATTATCGCAGGACATGATACATTTAAAAATCTTGAGATCCATACATATATTACATAACAAATTGATTGCAATTTCAAGTGGGGTGTACCACACGTACATATTGCCTACGATACAGACTCGGCTGTAACTGTAGCGTAAAAAAAGCAACGTTAAGTTAGTTTTATGCCCGACCGCGTGGTTTCTTCCTTGGAGAAGGTGCTTCTTCAGTCGAAACGACGCCAGTGGTAGCGGCTACACGCTTTGGACGTCCTGCCGTTTTACTCGATTGCTGTGTGGCTTGAGCAGAACCTTTAAAAATATTTCAAATTTTTAAATTATTTTCTGCTCAAAGAAATATATTTAAGGAAATAATTTATTTTTGAGATAATTTATTTTAGATAATTTATTTTAATGCATAATACGCATTTCATACCTCCGAGTTTTGTTCTTGGAACTCCCCTGGTGCCGTTATTACTTTGCTGCTTGCCGTTTTTTTTAAATCCAATTTTTTCATTTCTACATTATTTTTGGTATCCGCCACAGTGGGAACGTTGATAGCGGGATTGACAGTGATTGTTGTAGTCGTAGTAGTAACAGCGGTTGCAGGAGCACTAGCAGTGGTAGAAGTAGCGACTACTGCAGCAGCACCAGCAACAGCTGTAGCGTTAGTCGTGACGGTAACAGTAGCTGCAGCGGTAGTTGTACCAGCAGTAGTAGCAAGATCATTGCCTAAACTATTGCCAGATTTTGTGCTTCTGTTTAGTGCTCTCTCTGCCCTGCTGCTACCCTTCGCGACAGATTTAGCAATCGCCAATGCTTTGACCGATCGTTTCTTGGCGCGATTCGTTTTGGATGTTTTCCGATTGCGATCCGATTCTTCCTCATCGCCGTCGTCATCCGTAGAACTCGCGACTCGCTTAGACTTTTTACGATTCGGTTTTTCGTTTTGCAAGCCTTTTCTTCTCTTCAGCTGCGACTCATCTTTATAGAGCGACAGATCCACTGCAAAAATAAAATACGCATTGTGATTTACATATTACTCGTTCGATATAAAATTGTATCGTAAAAACAATGTTATGATTACTTACATCCATCGGGATGTTCTTCTGTAACTCGAGGTTTCTCAGATAGTCCAGATTCAACATCGATAGCTCGTTTCAAGATGTTTTCTGTGCGTAGCAATTCTATTCTGGTTAACCAGAATTTTTGCTTATCGACTTTGTTTAGGTTCAGATTTGTTAATATACAATCGAAATCTGAAAATTAATTAAAATTAAAAATGACAAATATGATATATATCACCGTAAATAATGCTATAAATGAAAATATGTGATAATACCTATGGTATCATAGAAATCGGGTGAATAAAATTCACCATTATTTGTATCTTGTGATAACCAACGTATACGAATGCGTCTGCTTGATTTGTAAATATTTTGCATCGCTTGACATACATAAAAACTTCCCTCTGCATTCCTCACAGCCAAAAATTCGTTTCTAATAATAAATATTCAATAATTAATTCACACTCATAAAATATTAAATTGTTTGTATTAAAATATATATAAAATACGATAAAATTTTTATTGAATAAAATGCTTACTTATAGAACATAATGAGTTTATCATCTGTAGCTTTAGAACCAGGAGTCTTATTGAGATTTTTAACCAATAAAGCAATCTCCGGTAATGGACTTTGATAGGGCTGTGTTTGAACTCGGTTTCTCTTAGGTTTACTTGCTCCGTCAGTAACTACAGTAGATGCTGCTTTCAAATCTTTCAATTCTCTAGATTTTCGTTTAGTTGTTTTCGGGGAGGTAGTGACTTTTGCGTCAGGTTTATATGTACTAGTTAATGTTGCAGTGGCGTTATCGCTCGATACTTTCGTACTCTGATTTGTAGGTTTCGGCTTTGGAATCTCGTTCTTTGCTTGTGTATCTTCTGTTTTATGTGGAGATTGTTTTATATGTACAGGAGTGTTAACGGCTTTGCCATCCGATTCCTTTGATCCATTATTTACAGGAATCTTCTTTTCTTCAACTTTATTTTGTGTTGGTGTACATACCGCTAGATAAGAGTATAGAGAAATATGAGTTTATGATTATTTGTTTTATACGTAATATCAAATTTTATTTACATCGCACATAATGCAAGCCACAAGCAACAATAATTTATTGATATAAAATATTGATTTGTGCATGTAATATCATTAGGTCCTATACATTTCAAATGAAAACTTTTCAATTTCAAAACAAAGAGGGGAAAGAGAATGAGAAATAATGTGCTACTTACGAGTATTCAATGGAAACTCCATTAAGGATGTTAGCACCTGTTCCGATTGCATCTCACATGGTTGTTCTTGAGCAGGAGTCTCAGGACTGAGATTGTTGTTTCTGTTGGACTCACTTTGCTTTACAACAGCAGGCACATCTTGCTCAGTTTCAGTTTTCGTGATCTCTACGCCGTTTGGAATCAATTTTTCAGCTTCCGGTTCCTTCTCCATATTACTTCCTATATATGGCGGGGTCTGATATACCGAGGGTCTGTGATCTTGCACTAGACTAAGCGGTTGACTGGGTGGTTGCAGCGTGACATAGCTCAGTCCGCTGCCAGTCAACGGCTTCATCGATCCTGACTCTGATCCCGGTACCACCTTCTGTGCCATGGCATTTATAGGAAGCATGGAGTAGCTGATAGATTACAGCAATGTACCTAGACATCATTGATTTAAGACAGATGTGCTTGCAGTAATTTTTCCTACTTACATATAAAATTGGCGAAAACTAGTAATTATAACCAAATATATAATTTTCTGCAATTTATTTATGTCGAATTGTATTTCAACGACGTACTGCTGATTGTACAGAAATGTATATTTATAATCCTTTTAAACATGCAATCAACTTGTGCATAACAAAATCATTGTGGTTACAATTATTGATAATTTGCCTTTGATGATTATTCCGTTGAGTATGCTGCAAGTCTCGTATTGCTATTCATGAACGTATCGAAGCAATTAAGAAACAAGAAAAAAAAAGGTCTGTATGATAATACAAAGTTTATATAACACAAATTATCACAGCGAGAGTACATTACGGGCACTTCTCTCTGTACATTCCCACAGCAGGCCGAGTAGATACCTAGGCGCGTTACCGCGGACGTAATCTGGCGATAAAAAAAAAAAATGGAAACGTTTGTTTCCGCTAATAACCCGAGGAACGCGGGGTAAGAGGGAAAAAATGCAGACGGAGCAAACGAGAGAAAGAGAGAGGTAGATAATGAGAAATGCGGGGATGAGGAAGCGCGTGGCGAAGTGACGAGAAAATCGTGAAAGGCGGGATACGCGCGACTAGCGGAGACGAGTGGACACGAGGGGGGCGGGTGGAGGGTAGAGAGGGGGTAATTAAAGGAGTAAACATAAACACGGGCGAATTTTCGCCGCGGGGACGCAGCTGGCGGGACGGAACGCGCGCGCGATGCAGCGCGGTGTGACGCGGTGTGGCGCGGTGTGGCGCGGCGCGGCGCCGCGGCGGTTTGGGGACGGCGCGCTCGTGATCGTACGATCGCGCTCGCACTCGGCGTTCGCTACGTTACCTGTGATCCTACCGCGTAGCGGGGTGGGGGCGACCGTGTAACAGGAATCCGCCAGTGCACGATGCAGGGTCCCCCGTGTTCCGGGAGATTAGTCGTCGCCGCTGGTTGTGTTGCCAACGCACACACGGGTTAGATCGTTCGCTCAAACGCTTTGGCCGGCACTGAAATCAGCCCCGTCCCACGCCTATCATTTCACACAGCGTGCACGCGCCATAACGGGACAACGCGACGACGTAGCCGACGTAAGGCGGATGATAGGCGCACGATAGGCGAGCACGGGTTAAACGCGCACACGATCCGCCGAACAACAGAACCGACGAGAGCGACGAGGAGCTTCCGCGCTTCTTCGACGATGGCCCTGGCTTTACCAGCGGGAGCGAGCAGGAATGCCAGTCGTTAGATGGCGTCGGTTCCCCCCGGACGCCATGCGTGATTCGACTCGGTCCCTCGCTGCCGCGCGCCGATTGGTCGTCGCAGCCGCCAATAAGGCTTCGCACCGGACGATGCGAGCCTAAGGCGCGATACACAGCGGCGCGACCGAGCGTCCGAATGCGCGCAGTTTCGAGTACGCCGTGAACTCACGCGTCTAACCTAACCTAATAACCTAAGTTGGAATACCTTGTGTATACTTGTGAACTTGCAACTGTTGTCCGATAAATCTAATTTCGTTTGATATTCGATTAACAAATTAAAAAAATTGGTAAGACAGCATGAGGAGCACGTGTTTTTTAATAAATAAAATTGACAAAATTATATGTCAGTTAACTCGTACTGCTATTATTTTGTCTCCATTTTTGTTATATATTAGTTAGATATATTGAACATGTAATCATTAAAATGATTTTGTAAATATGACAGGACCAAGATGAATATCCCGCCGATTCAACAGCCAGGAACGATGGGAGTAGCACAAATGGGACAGCCGGTGAATTCTCAATTGGCTCAGAATCAACAGCAGGCACAGCAAACTCAACAGCAACAGCAGCAGCAACAACAACAACAGCAGCAACAGCAGACACAGGACAAACTGGATAATATTTCCAAAGTGAAATCTTTGGTTGCTCCCCTGAGGGAGTCACTAGCCATAGCTCTTAAAACTGCAGCACAGACATTACATCAAAACAGTTTGGTTGATGTAGGAAAAGGTATAGAACAGCCGGATCATCGTTTTAACAAGAACATGGAAGAATTTTACTCCATTTGTGACCAAATTGAGCTACATCTGAAGACTTCCATGGAGTGTCTGTCACAGAACTCCAGTTCAATTCGGTATCTACCAATGGCAGTTATAACGACTCGCACCGACACAGTGAGTACACAGGAAGGACCAGCGCTATCCTATCCACAATTCCTCATGACGGTGCGAGCACAAGTGAAGTATGCTCTTGATGTTCATGCAGCTTTTATGGCTTGCGCCGATGTGATAACGAATGGTGACCTGGCTTTACAACAACAGCAGCCGCAACATCAACATCAACACCAACATCAACATCAGCATCCTCAATCCTCATAAATTCTAGAAAAATATGTGTCTGACAAAATAAGACATCAAAAATGAAGAAGCCAAATTGACTGTCCTTTCATGGTCTAATGATATAAATATTGTTATTTAATTATACACGCGCCAACAAAATACATAGTTATTGTAATTGATATGTGTAAGAAAGTATTTTAAGATAGTCTATGTTAATATGTATTATGTATGTATCATCAAGTGATGAGGTTTAAACAATAAGGATTTTTTTCATTTTAGAAATGGATGAAATTTATATTGTAATAACAAGACTTGAGTCTGACTAAATCGTTTGATATTATTTTTAGTATATATACTTGATATATTTTCAAGTATACTGTTTTATGAAAAAGTCATAAGTTATGCTCTCGTCACCAGTAAGTCGTAAACATGTGTCACGACTCGAGAATTCCGTGTGCGATATAAATCATTATACGAGATAATCTTCGAATCTCAAGTCAATTACGAAACGTATCGAATGTTTCGATCGCGGGTTTGCGTGTGACAGCATAGCATCGTTAACGTCTCATTAGAATTCCCGTGAACGAGATATCGCCTAGAGGCACGCGTTCCAAACCCCCCTCCGTCCTCCCCTGATTAATGTGGTGCCGAAAGTTCGCACGTAGAGCGGGTAGGACGCGTCGTCACGGGGTGGCGGGACAATAAACTCGGAAGCGCGCGTTTATGTATATATACATCCCATAACAGCTATCTGGTTGGGACCGCTGGCTGGCGCGATTTGCGGTCACGTATAAGTGCAGAAATACGGATCAGGGGGGGCCGGAAAGGCGTGCAGGAAGCCGCTACTGTCAGTTGGATTGGTGTTTCGTAGCGGCGCGCCGTACAATCATTCGAAAAGGAAGGACCACCTCTGTTCACCATATTTGGCAAACTTTCCCTAATATGGTAACGTCTACTTCTAAATATGGCAACAGGGGACGCCCTCTCGGCGCGCGATGTACCACTGCGCGGCCTTATTTGCGGGCGAATATCGCGGAAACGGAGCCGCGTGCGGGCGAACCGCCGAGCGAATCGGAGGGTAGGGAACCCGGGTGATTTTTCGGCGTGTCGTTCGACACGGATCCTCACCCGGTCGCGGCCACAGCGTTACGGCGGACTAGTTTTTTACGGCGTCGTAGGCGATGGTGGGGGAACGTCGGACCGCACAGCGCAGCGCGGCGACACGCGGAGGCCGCGCCGCTGCCGCCGCCACCGCCGCCACCGCCGTGGTTAGGCACGTTAGGTCAAGTTACGATACTCGGTTTCGCGCATTCAGTTCGCGGGGAGCGCTCGTGCAGTGCGCGTTGTTGTCCCGTGTTCCTCTAGATGATCGATCACGTGGCGGTAGACCCTGCGCCGAGTTCCGCACGCGATTCCGTGGCGAAGACGCGCCGCCGTCGTGGGGAAGGGATTAAATGTGCGCGCCGACGCCGTGATGGACAACCCTAGCGGCGGAAGAGACGGTCGGTACGCGAGTCTCGGCTACAGCATGGGGATGATCGGGAGCGATGCTGGCACGGAAATCTACGGCCGACCGTCCACCTCGCAGATCGCAGCGGTGGCGGCTTCCCAGTTAGGCCGCGGCGGCGCCACCATGATGTCAGCTGCGGGCGCCGCGACGCCAGGCGTCGGCCCCGTTCCCCGGGGTATCAAGCGCTCCACATCCGATGTCTGCTACGGCGGCGACGACGGCACGAACCAGGTCGCCGCGCGACAGCAGTCGCTCTCGCAAGGTATGTCCGCCGGCGGTGGCATGCCCGGCGATTGCGTCCCCGACAACCTCGACGAATCCTTCACGAATCTGGGCCAGCCGAAAAAGTCACCCCCCTCGAACGGCAAGAAGACCAAGGGTCGAGTCAAGATTAAGATGGAGTACATTGACAATAAGCTCAGAAGGTACACGACCTTCTCCAAGAGGAAGACCGGCATCATGAAGAAGGTTTGTATCGTGCAAACTTTGATCTACTCTGGTCGTACCGGCTTTCCGCGCACTCCGCGTAATGCGGGACCGCTCGTGGGGGCTCGTGTGGGCGCAGCGTACCTCTTTTCTCTTTTGCGTCTTTCAAGTTTTCCGCGAGAGAGAAAGAGAGAGAAAAAGAGAGGAAAAGGTGAGTGCGCACGCGTGTATGTAAACTCTGTGAAAATAGTGGCCAACACCGACAGAACTCTCGCGAAACGCGCAACGTGCAACGCGTTTCTCGCGTGTTGTCTCTCCAATCCGATTGTGTCGCGACGACAACGACGGACGGGCACAGGATGCTGCGCGCCGGGGCTCCAGTGTGCGCGCGCGCGCGCGCGCGCACGCCCGCCCGCCCGCGATTTACGAGTGACAGCGTTTCGCACTCGTGCATTCTTTCGCGGCTATTACGTACTTGCTAAAGGGGACCGATTGCTCGCACTTCAAGTTACCAGTTTTGCGTTCACTCCGATTAACTTTTTATGTATCTCCGCACTGAAAACTGCAATCCAAAGGGGAGGCGCGAATCTTAATTCTCTTTTTAATCGAAGACAAAAGGAAAATGCAATTGAATCAAAATTGCTTCTGTTCTTAATCTTTGTCTTCTCTCTCTCTCTCTCTCTCTCTCTCTCTCTCTCTCTCTCTTCCCCGTCTCTGTCTGTGCCGACATAACGTTATTTCTGTTCCATCTCGAATGTATCTCCTAAATTCCAGCATGAAATTAATTGCATGAAATTGATTGGTACATTCGAAGAAATATGTTTTTATCGGTCATAAATAATTGAGCAATTAATTCTCGAATATTATAGATAGATAAATAAATGTTAAAGTAACACTTATTATTAGTTTTTATAGTTGGTAAAATATACACATTTAATCAAATATAAGTAAGCCAAATTTTATTATTTATTTTTGTAATCATGCAAATGTTTATGTAATTATTAAAGTGATCTCTTATTTTTTGCAAAATCGAAACATCCATCTCCTCCTTTTTTCTCTGTAACACTTTTCTATTCTCTAAAGATTGATATTCTAACAAGATCTTTTAAATCTTCCTTTATCTTCATTAGTTGTTGTCATGCATCTGTTAACATAACTTTTCTTATTAATCTTGTAAAATTAAGTGTACTTCACTACAAATTGTTATGTCTGATTATTAGAAATAAATATACATGTACAAAATGAAATAAATTTTTATTCTTTCTGTTAGACCAATCGATATATCTCTCTTTTTATGATACATTATACTTTTCAAATGCTAAACAGATTTAAATAAAATTGACTGTTCGATTGTTAAGTAAAATCTACAGAAAACCGACTGTTAATTCTAAACTATATTTTTCTTTTGCTTTGGCTTATAATCTTTATTATTTTAAACAAACATTTTTTCCTTCTGTTTTTTTAAGAGGAAACTTAGAAGAATTTCTGTCTCTTAAAAAACAATATTCAGTAATGTAATATTCTGAAATAATATTTTTTCTATATATATATATATATATATATATATATACTAAAATAATATACTATTATTTAATATATATTAGTGTATAAAAATTGTAATTATTAAGAATTACTTTCTTTTTCACTATTATGACTAATTATATTTATTATATATTAATTACCTAACAATATAATTAAAAATAATTAATTAGACAATGTTTATTTATATTTATTTTACATCATATAAATTATACTAATTAACTTTCTTTTGAACTAAATTAGTTTTAAACGGAAAAAAATTAATTAATTAATTAAAGGAAAAATTAAAAAAAAAACTAAACTAAAATTCCTTTAGGAACTTAAAAAATTAAAGGAAAAAGTTAGTTTAAAAATTAAAAAAGTTTAAAAATTTTAAAAACCTTTAAACCTTAAAGTTTAACGTTAAAAAACCGTTAAAAAAGGTTAAAAATAAAAAGTTTTTTTAAAAATTTTTTTAACTTTTTTACCCTTTTTTCGTTTTAACGGTTTAACCGTAAAACCTAAACCGTTAACGGTTAAATTTAAATTTTAACTTTACCCTTTTCCTTTTTTTAACCTTTTTTTAAGTTTTAACGGTTAAACCTTAAACTTTAAATTTAAAACCTTTTTTTAACCTTTTTAAAAACTTTAAAAGTACGGTTAAAACCCTTAAAAACGAAAAGTTTTTAAAAAGTTTTAAAAAAAATTTTTAAAAAGGTTAACCTTAAGGTTTTCCGGTTAACCGGTTTAAGTTTTAGGTTTTAAAAAGGTTTAAAAACTTTAACCTTAACAAAACCGGAAAAACCCGTAACCGTTAAGTTTTAACGTTTTAAACCTTTAAACCTAAATTTTTAACTTTTTTTTACGTTTTTTCTTTTCGGTTCGTTCGTTAATAACTTATTTATTTAATTTAAACAAACTTTACTTTTACCTTCTTTTAGTTTTAAGGTTAAGTAAGTAAGAATATTTGTCTTAACTAAAACTAATACTATATATATATATTATTAATTATTTATTATATATATATATATATATATATATATAATCTACAAATAATATACCTATTATAATTTTGACATTAATTATAAATATTCATGATGTGGTTATATAGAATCAATTGTACGATTATTTAGGAAATTACTCTTTTTTTCTCACTTATGCAATTGATTTATTATGATATAATTTACGCTACCAAATATCTTAAAAATATAATTTAGCAATGCTTATTTTGATTATTTTTTACATCATCAAATTATCAATTACTTTCTTTTGCAAATATTTCGGAAAAATATATATAGAATAAAAATACAATCTTGCTAAATGAAATGTTATAAATAATTTAAAATGCCGAAAAGGAGAACCGTTAAGACATAAAGTTATATTATTTAAGCAAGAGCTTCGAATTAAAGTGATTCACATCGCTCCGGAAATAATGAAATTTATGATCACATGTTTAACACGCGATTACTCTGTTTAGAAAAAATGTAATTAACGAAATATATATAAGAACGTGACTAATTATTAGTACTTTTAGCTTTAATTTTTTAGATTTTAATTAGATATTCATGTCGAACGTATTTTGTTTGTATACATTTTAATAACTGCACGCATCAAATCACTTTGTACATTGATAATATTATGTTTTGTTAAATTTTTAATGACATCGGAATTTTCGCTTATATGAACAGTTGTTCGAGAAAAGAAAGTAAATCAATAAAAGTCAATAAAGAAATTAGTAAATATTCCGTTTTTGCTCTTCATCTTATATCGAAAAGATATTTTAAAACTTTTCGATTTTCTTTTTGTAAATATTTACAGGTACTAAGGCCAACAAAAATTACATATTGAAAATGCTATATGAAAGTAAAAAATGTATAGCGGTTATTATTGAGAAGTTTATCTAATCATCGTGTGATGTTATCTAAGTGGCTTACAACGTTTAATTTTTATTGTCATTACTTGTATTGTTTTTTTGTTTAATTTGAAAATCATTTCTCACGTTTTCATTTAATTTACATTGATATTTGTGATATCATTAATTTTAATCTCTTGTTTAAGAAATAAATTAAATATTTATTATTTCATCAGTAAACATTATAATTATAATTCATCGTAAAGCGCAAAGAATATCTCGTAACAAAGTACTAGATTATCATCAAACAGATCGTGTTTATAATAAATTTGTTAATAAATAAATTTGTAAAATAAATACACTTAGCTTTGTATTTCTGTTATGCATGAAGGTGGAACTCCGAGTAATTGATTCTACGAATGATATGTACTTTATCAAGAAAGAAAAAAAATCCTGAAATAAATATGAAATAAATATTACGGGAAGAAGAAGATTTTTCAAAAGAGAATTAACGAGATGTCGGTTTGACGATATTTGCAGGCGTACGAGCTGTCGACGCTGACCGGCACGCAGGTAATGCTATTGGTTGCAAGCGAGACCGGCCATGTGTATACGTTCGCGACGCGCAAACTGCAACCGATGATCACCAGCGATGCCGGGAAGGCGTTGATCCAGACGTGCCTCAACAGCCCGGATCCGCCGCCGTCGGGCTCGTCGGGCGACCAGAGGATGTCGGCCACCGGCTTCGAGGAGACCGAGCTGACGTACAACATCGCCGACGACGAGCAGAAAGTAAGGCAACTGGTGTACGGCTCGCCGCACGGTGGCTCGCTGCACGCCGGCTATCCTGGTACCGGGCCTGGTAGCGGGCCAGCGGGCGGCCCGACCGCGGGGGCCCATCCGCCGCCACCGCCGCCACCGCCGCCGCCGGGCTCGCAGCACGCGCCACCCTCACACGCGCAGCACGCGCACCTCATAGCGCATGCACACGCGGCGGCGGCCGCAGCCGCTTCGCCGAGCTCGCACCTCGTGCCGTGCTCGAGCCCGGGCCCGATGCTCGCCGGAGGCCCATACCAGCAATCATGCCCCTCGCCCCTGCCGCCCCATCACGCCCCCTACCATCCTCACATGTCGCACTCGCACCCCCAACGGTAGTACGTGCTTGCCGCTCGTCGGCCCGTCGCGCTCCGTCCCCCGTTCCCGCCGCATTTCACGTTTTGAAACGTCGAAAGGTCGAAAGGTCGAAAGATTGAGATCGCGTTGCGAGCTAACCCGCGTCTTCGCTATAAATCCGGATACACACTCGGAAGAAAAGGGAGACTTGTCTCGCGCCGATTCTCGCCGTGGATTCTCGATCCGATAGAGCGATGCGAGCGGTGTAAAAAAAACTTTATGTAGTAATTTTGTGCAATTTGTACATAATTTGTACATAAAGATAATTATTGCGATATGTACAAAAACGATTACTGCGATTTTTGTGTGGAATGTCGCATGGCACGCGTTAATCGAATTTTATTTCAATTTGATTCGAATAAGAATAATTATAAGTCTTTGTTCTTAAAAAAAAGACAAAATTCTAATTTGAGGGAAGCCAGAATTCAAAGGGGCCAAATTATTCAATTCAAATAATTTTTTTGTTAAAGCGTTTTTGTTAAATGTTTAATATATGTAGGAAATGAATATCGAGTAAAGTACAATAATCGAACTTTATTCCACTTTAGTCAAGACGACGTTATAATGCAATGCGCGAGCTCTCGGAATCGTCCTTTCCTTTTAGCAGCGGATTTTCGAGTATCTACCGAATCTCGCACTTCGCCGAATTCGATCGTGTCTTCCTCGAAATCCGTCGCTAATCACAAGAGAACACGAGCTCGATTATCATGAGAACAATACATGATCAGCTGTTTCCGATCAGCTGTTTGCTTCAGTTCGCGACATAGACATGCTCGTTACATCCTTGCGAAATACAAATTAAGAAGTTAACGATTTATTTGGAAAACGGATACATTTATATTCGCAGATACTTATACAATTATATTTAATTTCCTACATATGTATATATTTTTTTTAATGTTTTATCATTGCAAGTTTTCTTGTGAATATTTGCTTTTAATATTTTTTTTTTTTTTTATAAAACTCTTCTTTCCCGAGATATAACTATTTTAACGTACGTCGATGCAAGGCCGCGCGTGGCTTATGGATACCGAAATAATTTCTCTTCGGGCATCGCGTGTACCACTGACGTAATTTCCCTTTAGACGCTGTATCGCGCCGGCGAGCGTGTAGTAGAGTCACATATAGTATTTTATTGAATACGATGGACGCGATAGGGGATCGTATAGGCTTACGATTACAGCCAATCTCGTACGCGTAAATCTAGTCCAATCTTTCGATATGTTTTTAGTATAAATACATATATAACATATTATATGTAACGTATAACATTATATATGATATATAATATTCATACATAACATATGATTGTGTACATAATATCCATATGTTATATATGGATACGTTATCTAAAGTATCCAATATACACATATCGATAAATTTTTCCCCATCAAGTATTGCGCGGTTAAGAACTTTGCTCTCGTGTGCGAAACCGACAGAGGCGCGTTGTATCGTTGAAACATAAAAAGGGAGAGGATAGTTTTCGTTTCGCGAAACGTTCGCGTAGCAAGGAAACGCAAAGTTTGCTACATCTCGGGGCAAATTACAGACTGATCCATCATCGATGATCCCAGATCACGAGCGAATTATAAGATTCCATGAGATAAATGTCGGTCTCTCTATGAGTAGATTTTTGTGCTCGACGAAGTCCAAAGCTCGGCGTATTAAATGAAATACGGTGGTATGCATCGACAAAAATCACCGTACGATAGAAAGATATTCGAGGATTGCGAGGAAAAGAGACATTGTTATTAATTAGTTATGTCGTAGATTAGGTGTACATTAGCGTTAGGCATCGTGTGATCGACCCAGTGGGAATAGAATAATCAAGTACTTCGTTTTTGTACTCGTTCGTTTCAACAGCTCTCTGTTTTACATTTTATCTTTCGTTTTTTGTTCATTATTATTATTATTATTTTTTTTTAGTTAAATTGTATTATTTATTGAAGGCGATATCTTTTTTTATTTATTAAAGGCAAAAGAGCAACGTGTACGTATGTCGTTATTGTAAGCGGACGTTAATCGCGACGTCGGTACTCGTTTTCGTATTTTGTACGAGTATGCGTTGCGAAAAATACTCTTTCTTTCTCTCGTTATTTTCACGAGAGAAATTCAATTTATTTATCTCCATCGATTTTGTTGAGGAACAAAAAATTCCCCACTAAAAGAAAATCGTCGAACCGGTGGTGTGAGTGCGATTCCGGCGGTGCACGCTTAATACTGTTATGCATTCTTTTTTTTTATGGAGCATCGTGCCTCATCCATCGTCTCTCTTTTTTTTTATTTTTTTTTTATTTTTTATTGTTTGCTGTGTAACGTGTGGTATATCGCAACCGTAACTGGCATGTGTAGTTATTTGGATTGTCTTTTCTCGCAGAATAAGTAGTTAGTATTTAGATTACCTTTTAATTTACTCCACCGTTTCCCAAACCTCTCCACACTCGACATCCCACACCGATATCCGTTTATCAACACTGTGCATGCGTATGTGTGTATGTATTGTTTGTTCATGTTCTGTATTATATCGTGTATCCGCGGAAAAAAAAGGAGAGAAGAAGATAAAAGAGTAAAAAGAAGAGCGAATGTTTTTGGGCACCGATCAGATAGATATATAGAAATAGAAACTGTAATCTACCGCGCGTCTCGATATACAGAGAGTACAAATAATAATAATAATAATAATAATAATAATAATAATAATAATATCGATTACAATTTTAACGATAAATTTGCGAATAATGCGGCTCTTTTACATTATTAGTATGTATCTTAGTATTTTTGTACATAGCATAGTAACTGTAAAAAATACTGTGATAATATTTATATATTTTTATGCCTATAAGCGTATACACATGGACACACACATACACGCACGTACACTCATACATACACTTTCGTCTTTGACAATATAGACTCTGCAATCAAGTGATTTGATTTTCTACCGATAGATTTTGATTGTGCACGATGTTGCCGATGTCACGTTTTACTGTCGCGGGCCAGGTAGGTATTTCTCCAAATTTTGTCTTTTGCAAGTTGTATTAATTTAATTAGTCCATGCGACACTTTATGCGATCAAATCTCTGTGTGTATTAACGCGAGATAATATATGCTTTCAATTTTTAAAA